TGTATTTTTCCGAAACTTCATGAACATGAGTGGGAGGACAGGTCCCGGCAGACACTGGGTGGTCTGTGTCCTTTGGGAAGAGGTCTTCCCCGAGAGCGAACATGGATGTCCACCAGCAAAGCTCACTGTCTGATCACAGATCCACAATAAGAGTGGTTAGGCTCCTACTTGAGGTGAAATCTTTTTTCTTTTCCTAAAAGTCTGTTGGAACAGCAGCCCATTCCTAGGGGCTCCCCTGAGGTCATTCCTCCTGCTTCAAAGGCATTCTCAGAGCTTTCCTGAAGCCAGAATGGATCACTTGCTTCCTGGTGTGAAAACACACAAAACAAATAAATTGTGCCTGTGAATAAACTCATGTCCCCTCCCTGCGCCCCCAGGCCCGCTGCAAGTATCTTTGTCTGCACACAGCTGCTAATGGTACAGACGGAGATTTTGAGCCTTCCAAGGGGTTTGAAGCTCCGGGGTGCAATAGAGGAGCTTTCTTGTTCTGCTCAGGAATGAGCCCGGATAACACTGGCTCACTGAGGCCTTAGTCTGTGCAAGAATTGCAGTATTACAATATGTGATGAGCTGCTGCAGAGTACACAAGAGTCTGCTAAGTGGGTGCAGATGGAACCAAACAGAAGCAAATCTAATGACAAAGATCTAAAGAATTTTTATTTTCAACTCGTGGGCTTTGGAGAAAAAATGACCAACCAGATTCACTGTAAATACCAATGTTGAATAAAGACCTCCTTCTCCAGTAAAACTGACTGGAAAACCGCCAGGTCTGTGAAAAGTTTCAACAGTGCAAAAGAAGCATCTACTCTAAGAACTAGAAGAAATGCTTCTCTTCAAAACCAATTTACATGAGCCGGGTGTGGTGGCGCACGCCTGTAATCCCAGCACTCAGGAGGCTGAGACAGGAGGATCGTTGCGAGTTTGAGACCAGCCTAGGCTAGAAAGTGAGCTCAAGACCAGCCTGAACTGCATAGTGAGACCCTGTCTCAAAAAGACAAAAAAACAAAAAACAAAAAACAGTTTACATGAAATGGGAGAAAACTTTTAAGCAGAATCTTGTTTTTTTTTTTTTTGTCTTTGTTTTTTAATTTGCAGAAGGACTTGAGGGAACAGTGCATGTTGAAAAGATCTCAGTGTGGAAAACTGTTTTCATTTTAAAGGCAGCCAGACACTCATCTGAAACTGTACGCCCCTGACAAAATGCAGTGGCCTGGAATTGAGCATCAGGAAAGACAGCCGCTTGTCCTCAGTGGCTCCCCGGTGGAAGGGCAGAGCTGCTGCTAAAGCCATGTCCCTCCTGTCCCCGTGCATCCAAATCTAATCCAGGAGGTGCAGAGCAGAGGGACATGGTAAAGGGGCTGCCTTCCACATCTCCTGTAGGAAACCAAACTGTTCGGCCAGTTTCAAGGAAGAGAGAGCAAAAGGGCAAGGCAGAGACCCAGAGATGGGGGGGTGGAAGCTCATCATCAACCAATGAGAAAATGCGGCCCTCATGTGGACGCTATTTCAAATATTTATTAGGAGGACTGGAAATTAGAAACCTGGCTAGATATTTGATGGCATAGTAGAAGCACTGATAATTTTTCTATTTATTTATTTATTTATTGAGACAGAGTCTTGCTATGTAGCTCAGGCTGGCCTCGAACTTGTGGTAATACTCCTGCCTCAGCCTCCCAAGTGCTGGGATTATAGGTGTGCACCACCATGCCAAGCTTTGTATTTGATTATTTTTAAGGACTATCTTTTAGTTATATCTACTTAACTATTTATAGTCGAAGTTGTGTGTCTGCAATTTGTATCAAAAAAGTAAGGAAGGGGAAGACAGGGGTGTACATAAAATAAGATTGGTACTGAGCCAACAGCTGTTAAGCTGGATGATGGACATATGTAGTGTCGTTTCTTTCTTCTTCTTGCTGGTGTTGGAAGTCCAAACCAGGCCATTACTCTACCACTGAGCTACACTCCCAGCCCCACAAGGGAGCTTATTATGCCACTCTCTCCCCTTTTGTGTAAGTTTGAAAATGATAAAAATACAATATTTTAAAGCTGCACCAAAGACACAAAGCAAGACGATGGAACTCTGCAAAGCCCAGTTCAGATAACTGCTCAGGAAATTCTCCCAAACACTTTGAGGAAATGGAGATTTTAAAAAAAACACCTGTATGCAACAGAGGCCTAAGAGATGCAGTTTGTTTATCTGCAGTGCTGGGGACTGAAGCCGGGGCCTTGCACATGCCAGGTAAGCGCTCTACCACTGAGAGACACGTTCAGTTCACGCCCCAGTCCTGGGAGAGAAAAAGGACATCAGAATTTCAGAAGGAAGTATGACTAGAAACTCAAAGAAAAAGCAACACAGTAACATTCCCAGGGAGGGTGGAGAAGGGGATAAACGAAAGAATTAGGATGCGTCATGTACATGTACCAACTCCCCATGAGGAATGGGATCATTATGTACCGCAAACATATATTGATAATAATAATAGAAAGAACATTCCCAACACTCCCACTACTGGGTTCACCTCTGACCAATGAACCATCTGGTAATACTCTACACATCCAAACGCTCAGGGATTTTGACCTAATCGCGTGCAGTTAGGAAACACGTGCAGTGTAAGACCTAGTTTTGAAATATTTTGAGGTTTGCTTTAATGCCTGGAGTAAAACCAGTGTTTAGAAACACTCCCAAGTGCTGGCTCTGCTCACTGGTGCAAAGTCCCAGAACGCCATCTGCTCAGGCGGAAGCGCGGCTCAGCTTCTGCCTTCAACACCCACGCGGTGTTGGGACCTGTGCAGGTGGACGGTCGATTTCCTTAAGAGTTCTGTCCACTTGCACTGCCTGGATTTTGAGCCTACCCAGTTTCATGTTTAAAAGTTACTCCTCTTTGTAAATGGAACTTTTCTATTCCTCCATTGTGAACCTTGCTACCCCGTTTTTTTGTGTCTGTCTGAGGTAACGTAACAGGTGGTATCTGCTTAGTGTGCTTTTGTGAATGATGCTGGAGGTTGAACCCAGGCCCTCACCCATACTTAGCTATTTCCACAGCCCTGCCCAGGGTGACCCTGCCCACAGTCTTTTACTTCCAGTTTCCGAAGTCCTTACATGAGCCAGTGCTTGGGTAAATGGTGCTTCTCAATATTTTTGGAAAATGATCAATTATTTTTTGTTTTTCCTGATGTATCATGGCCTATGACTTCTGAAAAGTATCTTAATAATAAAATTCTGGAATCAAAGATATGCAAAATAAAAGCTCAGGTGTTTTAGTATTAGATTCAAAACACACACAAAACGACTGTCAAATCACTTAGACGCTGTTAATTTCTCAAGCTGTCTTGTTGCAGCCCGAGACTCACACACACACGAACACCAGCGCTGAAAACCGCACGTTTCTCAGGATTCTGTTATTTAGTCTGACGATTGTTCCACCAGCAGCTTGGTCATTTGTAATTATTGGTACATTTGGCTCTGTTGCTAGTTCAGTCTCTTTTCTCCATCATGTTGTGCATGGCACAAAATTAGAATTTGAGGTCATTATTGGATATCGTCTTTTCCCCCCTTCGGCCCCCACTTTTTTCTAAACGGTATTAAGAATTGAGTGCAGGTCCTTCGCCCTTTTTAGTTTTTAAGACAGGGTCTCACAAAGTTGCCCAGCAGGACTCGAACTCACATCCTCCTGCCTCAGCCTCCTGAGTGTTGGGATTATGTTCCTGTGCCACAATAGGGCTACCAAGCTATTCATCACTCACCTCAACCCCAGCTATCTCCTACAGGGCATCCGAAGTGACTTGCCTTCACATGTAGGGATTTCAGCCCCAAGTATTTAAACATGTATTTATACATAAAATTCTAAATTTCTTTCTTTCAGTCCTTAAAAAGTGTAGTTCTGCCAACAAGTTGCTGCTGGAGAATCCTATGTCCACTGGATCCCCAGCTCTTTGGGCTTTGGATCTGCCCATTCTTTCTGGAGGCCCCCACAGAATGCCTTTTATTAATCTTACACTTTACTCCCCAGCAGTGAAAATCGATGAACAGATCAGAGATGTTACCTATCTGAAAAGGGTCCTGCAGCACTGAGCGAAACGTGGCCACACACACTCTATCCTTTCATCCTGTCCCAAAGCATGCAGACTAAATAGAAAAGCGCCTAGGGGTGCAGAAAGACGGCAAACTTGGGGAAAATAGGGAAGAGACAAACCAAAGTTCAAGACAGTGATTCTCTCTTGGTGAGGTACAGAGCTGACCCAGGAGAGGGGCCCGGGGTGGCTGGGATACTGCAGACACGCGGTGGCCCAAAGAAGGACTGCAGTATGAGTACTCTTTCCATTGTCATTAAAAGTACCTGACCAGCATTTTTGCATATGTCACTTATTCACGGTCCACCCTGTGGCCGACTGCCCAGAAGTGGCTCCCGAGTCAGGATGCTGGGGCCAGCAGTAGTCGCTGCACTGGTCACAGACGTCCCAGAGTACCAAGGAACCGGGGATGGAGATGGAATGGGGAGGTTCTAGGTTTGCTCTAGGTTGACAAATACAGGGCTGGAGGTGTAGCTGAGCACTTACCAGCATATACGAGGCCCTGGGTGCAACCCCCTACGCCAAAGAAAAAAATCACCTAACGCCCGTGCCTCAGTCCTTCTATCCCATCCCGGAGCCACACCAACTAAACGGGGTCTTGTCCCTCGGAAGGTGCTCCCAGTCCCTTCCTGCCACCACAGCTCAGCCTGAAGGTGTGTTTTTGCTGTATCTACAGGCTCCCGATTTCACCACCACCCCATCCCAGCATGCGCACCCCTCCTCCGACCCTCCAAGATCTAGGCGTCCCCATCTGCACCCGCCGGGAGCACACTTCCTCCCTCTCACTGTTCAGCCCTCCAGGCACCGGTCAGGGAAAACCTGTCTCATAGAATTCCTTGTCAGCCGGGTTCCTTCTCCTAGGTGATGACCTCTAATAAATTACAATTTTCTTAAGCCTTGACCAAAGGAAGAGGCATGTGAACAGCAAAACGGCGTCCAGGAGAGCTTTTATTTGTATGGAACAGTTTTAAAAATACAGAATAAAATAGCTTTATCTCTACTATTATTCACAACATCTGGTCCAAATATTACATATTCTTAAAATACTTAAACGCTTAATGAAGCCATGTTAGAAAAACAATATGAAAATTCTTTTTTAAAAACTCCATAAAAGAATTACACATCTCAAAAAACAACCCCACCCCAAATACCTTCGGTATGCAAAATAAAAATAAAAATAAAAAACAAACAAAACCCCAGAAAGGTATATAGGCAAAGTCAGTCACAAAACGCAAGGAAAATAGAGGCATCTCCACTGTTTTAAGAACAGTCAGATATTTATTAATGTGTCAGACAAAGGTTGTCAGGAACCAACAGAAAGGGCGTTTGTGGGGACAGTGCCAGGGACACACAGCAACTCTACGGACGCTGGATGTCGGAGCGATGGGGAGGCACAGTCAAAAACCTGTGGGACGGGAATGTTCATGAGGCTGCTGAGAAGGGATCCCCAGCACCAAGGAGCTTTCGGGACTTGAGGCGGAAGCTGATCTGATCGCTGGCAAATGCAGGTGGCGGGCGGCCTTTTCGTAGCCTTCAGGTCCTGGCTGCAGGAGGAGCGAAGGGTGGGAGATGTCCTATTCTCTGCATCCGAATCATGAGGGACAGAGATCAATGCACAGCACATGAACCCCCAGCCACGGCCAGTTCTCCTGGGACTGGGGCTCCATGAATGCTCAGGTGCGGGAGCTGCATGCTAACCCGGTGTGTGATGGGCCAGGCTGGCATCTGGCAGCAGTTGGGCCCACGGCCCAAGCAGATCCACCTTAGGACTCGCCTCTCCTCTCACCAGCTCCTTCCCTTCTATGTGGCCGGGTTGGGCCACTCCTGTGGCACAGATATCACTGAAGATTAGACTATCAGCTTTGTATCCAAGTTGCTAGAATCAACATTTCAGCAGGGACAGGAATGAAAGACGTAACAGCTTAGCTTATAGTCACAGAATATGTGTATGGGTAAATAAAGTATACACACATACTAGAGATTCATCAATGGAGAAATTCTATCAGCACATGACATTGTCATGAAAATTATACCATTCCCTCCCTGGAAAACTGTGACTTATCCTGGGCAGAAATGTTATTTTACTATATGGAAAATACTGCAATATTCATGCATAAATCAAGTTGTCATCATGAAAGTCAGTATGTTACAGTATAAAGCAAATCCTGTGTGAATTTGTTAGCATGAAAATGGGAAACTGTTAGGGCCCAGGATGCTTTGTTCTAGCTGGCCCGGGAAAGCCACTCCTCTTGCCTGGATCAGCTCACACTAGAAACCCTGACAGATTTCGAAAACAAATGTATCCCATTATTCTCTGAGCCTGCAGTGGGTCCCCTGGTGCGAGGCTGGCAGCCTCTCCTGCAGGCTTTCTACTCTCCGGGGCCAACACGAACGCTTTCCTCCCAGGACCAGGCAGGTGAAGGTGGTGGGCACTAAGTCAGACGCAGAATGCCCTGTCCAGAATGTTATGGTATCCTACTGGGAAAACAGCTCACAGGCCAGCACCAGGCCTGAAAAGTGTGGGCCACCTGCCCACCAAACCTCTCTGTTTGGGTGTGTGCTGCAACTCCAACACAGAAACACACATTCTTTTGCTCCCAGTTACAGACTTCCATTCCGCAGCACATGTGCTGGCAGGACTACTTCCTAAAATGGCTTGTGTGTGATTTGCTAGTGACTAGGGGACTCCAGTAACTCAAAGCTATGCAAAAACTACCAGACTCACTGGGAGCATCTTGTCAGGCTGCTCCTTCCCCCTCTCCAGACAGAATATCAAAAGTTTGCCCTAGTGGAACAAGAAGCGGGGAAATCTGTCTCCACCGGCGTGTGGGTGCAGGGCTCTCCTGGAGGAACACTTGCTGGAAATCCCTTGTCTACTGGAGTTGAGGCCTCATGCTAAAATTGGTCTGCAGAAGGGCCCCCAGGGAGAGAGGCCCCCAGGGAGAGGGGCTCCTGGGAGAGGGCTTGCAGATACCCGAGGCTGCACTCTGGGGGCCTTGCTGGGAGGGAAGGTGGCCTGTCAAGTTCAGCTAGGGAACTTGGGCCTGATGCTTTTATTTGTATGCTTGCTCACCTGAGAGCTAGAATTCTTCAAATCTCTGGGACATTTAACAGTTTTCTCCATTTTTCAAACAGAGTGATTGGAGATGCTACGCAAACTATAAAGTGAAGGAACAGAGAGCAGCGCAGGGCAGGACAGCGGTCAGTAACAGGCTGGGCACCAGGGACCAGTGTGCTCCTAAGGTCACTACCCACTGTACACATCTCGGAAAGAAAAAAATTAAATGCAATTTGGAATCTAACATCTTTACGTGGTCTGTGGTAAGATTTTGGCAAAATAATGCAGTGGCTCTGAAGTGCTCTTGAAGCCCAAAACTCCTAGGAGTCAAGGAAGCCGCAATGGCACAGCCACAGACCTGGCAATGTGACAAAGCCGAGGCAGCACAGGCATGGGGTGCAGAGATGCACTGCGCGGACATGAGGCTGCAAGAACCAGCCCTGCTAAGAACAGGGCGCCCAGGGCTGTCCCAAGCTCAGGCAGGTCAACGGTCACTGCTTCATGTCTCAGGCTTTTCCACTGGCTGAAAAATTTCAAATTCAATAGAAGCCACTTTGTCAAAAATAACTTAGTGTCATAAATTAGAGCTCCTCATAGAGGGAGGCTGCTAGCTGCTTTCTCCTCATCTTCTGTAAAAACTCACTCAAACGAGGCAGCGCAGGGCTAAGGGACTCAACTTCCCTTGTCAAACCAAGGTGCAGAGGACACGCAACGTGACAATGCCCAGCAAGTCTCCCTAAGCCAGGGCGCTGGAAATGCCCAGCAGCAGAAAAGCGGGCGAAATGACGTGGTCAGGAGGGAGGACCGTGCGATCCAGGGCTGTATGGTGACCTACCCCAGCTTCCCTTCTTCACATAGCAAACTCATGCGTCACCTGACCCAGGCTTTCTGGGCTCTGGTCCAGTAGTCAGTTTTGATAAATAGATAAGGGTTACAGTATTTACACTTTCATGGTATCAGGCAATACAAAACACAACCACAACAATGGTTACTGGCCTTCGACAGCTGTTACAGCAAGCTTCCCTGATGGTATCCACAGCTTTACAAACGCTGGTACTTTTCATCATGGGGGTGGAGGTTGGGGGAGGATGAGAAGTAGTAGGGACGCAAGGGAAGAAGGTCACATGGAAAAACACTGACTTGGAAAATCTGCTATAGTCAATAACATTAAATAGGAATAAAATCTTGTAATATAGACGCGCGCAACAGTCACATCCACATGACAGCAGAGCTAGGACTCAGGAGCTCACCTGGCCAGTGCCTTGAGTGGCGCTCTGTACCCACCACACTGGCCAGGAGTGACAAATGCCCAATAAGGTGTCTCGCCATTAAAGGGGTCAGTGCGAAATGCACTGGTTTGGCGGGGGCCAGGGCGGCTGGGGAAAGAACAGTCAAAAACCCTACTGTCTTTGGGGTCCTTGCCCTTCCCTTTCAATCCCTAAACAGGGTTCCACTTCACACCTGTAGAGACCTTCAGGTGCCCTATCGGGGCCCAGGGCTGCAGGCCACTGTTCTCGGGCTGGTCAACAGCCTCCCAGAGAGGACCAGGGACAACAGAATCACTTGATAGGCAGTTGTGACAATGTGATGGTATGGTGGCCCTGGCCCAGGTGCAGGCTGAGGTCAAGCAAAGAGCAAGTGGGCCCGGGTGCTTCTGAGACAGAAAGCCCCTGGACCCTGGAGGCAGCGTGTAGGAGAGCTAGCACTGGGCGGCGGGAAGGGACTGAACAAAAGGGAACTGCGGATGATTCCGGATACCCCCTCCCACGGGAGGGCTGGAATTTCAAGTTCAGTGACCATGGCCAGCAATGGACACTGTCAAAGGGCAAGAGGTCAAGGGCTTAAATAAGGAGGCAGGTGAGACACCGTATTAGACACAATTACCACCCACAACAGAAAAGCAATGTGCAACAACCGGTCTTCGCTCTGGGGTGCAGGATGTAGATGCAGATATACAAACATATATTTGACTTCTTGTTACTCGGCAAGGAACGACAGGTACATGGCTCACTGCGGCCAGGCCACAGGGCACAGCTAAGGCTATACTGTGGCCTGCGAGTCTTCGTCTGAACTCCGGCTGTTTTCACTCTTTCCGAAGCCCTTCCATGTGTAGCCTGCAAAGGTTGGGCTGATAGGCAGGTAGCTGAAGCATCTGTATTTTTTAATAATGTTCATGCCGAATGGCAAGTTGTAGGATTCCATGCCATCGAGTGACTTGTTCCCTTTGCTCACGCCCTTCTTCCATTTCCTGATTCCTCTTTCTTCTGGGGTACCTGACACATACACACATGCAACACACAGGATATAACACAACACAGCACAACACAACACAAGGAATGCTTAGTTTAACAACTCCATCAGGAGTGAGTGAGGCTGCTGTTCTCCAGCTCAGCCCCGCCTGAACAATAGCAAAGAATACCTGAGAGGCCGAGGGTCTCAGGTCTCCAGACACCCAGCCACAAGCCCCAGCATCACTAAGCCTTTCCTGTCCCTCTTGTTCCATACCACGTGGCCTCCTGAGGGCTTCCTGTCCTCCTGTCCTTCCCCATGGCCCACATTCCCAGTGCTCAGCGCCGAGGTCCCGCCTCGAGTGCTACTGCTCTCAGGGGTCACGGTGTCAGTCTCCCAGCTGCTCATTCTGGCTTCCACCTCCCCAGCCCCTCCCAAACCTGCTGTCAAATACTGCGCAAAAATTACTGCTCTAAAATGCAAATCTGAGTCTGCAAGACAGGCCTAGAGTTCATGTTACACCTACAAAGCCTTCCTCAGTCAGCCACTTCACTCCAGCTGCTGCTTCGCTCCCTTTTAGCGTGCGTGTGTGCGTGTAAGGCGCACTGACTTGTTCTCGGACTTACTGAGAAGGTTTTACTGAGATTTTTTGCTTAAGACAGCCTACTCCAAAATGCCTTAACTAAGACTGTCGGGGAGCCCAGGGGTAGACACATCAGGCAGATGGATTTGCAGCCCCTCTCCTGAGGGCAGCGCAGTGGTACACAGTGGGAAGTGTCTCTGGGAAGTGGGGAAGGCTCCAAGCTGGGCCACATTCCTGCCTAGGCTGTCACCCAGGGCTCGGCATGGAACCATCAACTGGGGTTACGGTGCTGCAGAGGCAGTCTCCAAACGCCTCGTCTTTGGTCCTGGCCTTGCTGATCTCAGCCTCTGCCCACTGTGCTCTAGTTGCAGGAGGCTGCAGGGTCACCGTAGGATGACCCATCTGAAGGACAGTCCCACGGAGAAGTGCCAGAGACTGTCACCAGCAGCTCAGGAATGTGACAAGCCTGAGGGCCACACTGCAGCTCTGGACAGCGTGAGAAGGGGCAGGAGCCTGAAGTAGTGCACTGCCATCACACCACACACAGGTCTCCTGCTCTCTCTCAATGCTGCGCACACACAGCCAAAGTGAAACAGCTTATTAACAAAATGGGTCCTAAGTGGAGTATCCTCTAACTACTTTATAAGAGCTTCAACCAATGATGGCTTTGAACTCTTTTCTCTTCCTCTCTTCTCCTCTTCCCTGTCCTCACCCTCCCTCTCCCTTTCTGTCTGAGATGGGGGTCTCACTATGTTGCCTAGACAGTCTCAACTCCTGGGCTTAAGAGATCCTCCTGCCTCAGCCTCCCAAGCAGCTGGGACTACAGGCATGCTCAACCAGGCCTACTTTTTGCTTCTCATTTTTTGTTCAGTTACAAAAGGTAACACATAAATGTAGTACTGTGTTTGAAATACACCACATACCTGGGATGGTGTTGTCCAAAATAAAAGCCACACAGCCTCCTACAAACATAGCAGTTGTGAGAAGAACGTTTAAGACTTGATCGATTCCTGTTATGCCTAGAAACAGAGCAGAGACATGAGTGCCATTGCCGTAGCCAGTACTCGCCTCGAGTTAGAACAGACAGGGGGCGCTGCCACTCCTCTACACTGCCAGTCAGCATAGAGGGTGAAAGTGTGAACTGCATGCTAGGTAAGTTACTGCCGGCAACGTTTTACACGCCTATGACCCAAAGCATCCCCAGAAGGATAATTCCTAACAGTGGTCAGGTGAACTTAATGAAGTGACATCCGTCCTACAATGAACTGTATAGTCACTTGAGTGCTGTCTGCAGATCAAAGTATTTCCAAATAAAATATAGCTGTTTACACACTGACTTAGACAAAAATATCTGTGCATCTATACACAAGCATTTTCAGTGTCCTAGGTGCCTAGGTGCACAGCGGCTTTCAGCATTTTACAAAACTGTTCTCCTGCGAATGCGATGTATTAAAACGTAAAAAGCAGCAAGAACCTCCTTGTTATTAGAAGCTCCCGTGCTTTCTAAACTTAAAAGTACATGCCTGGTGTGTGCAAAGCCCTGGGTTCAAGCTCCAGCACCCCAAAATAAAAAAAATATAAAAACACTGTTACCTGGTGTCCCTAGTACAGTAATCTATTTATTTAGTGGCACTGGGGATGTGCCACGGTGCCCAGCTAGTTATTTATTTCTTATAATGATTCCTCCTTTGTTCATTCTTCATGACAGCAGGATATGAACATAGCAAGTAGGGTTAAGACAGTCGATATGGGATTGAAAACTGCTATCACATAGTAAAACACATGTATTTCAGCTGGGTGTGGTGGTGCACACCTGTAATCCCTGCACCGGGAGCTGCTGCAGGATGATCCCAGTTTAGCTGTAGCCTGGCAACTTAGCAAGGCCTTGTCTCAAAAATTTTTTAAAGGGCTAGGATGTAGCTCAGTTTAAAGGTCCTGGATTTAATTCCCAGTGCTGGAGAGGGAAAATAAAAAGAAGGAAAATGAAAAGTGTGTATTTCCCAGTGTATGAAGTTTTAGGAAATCACACATCTTAGCCAGGCATGGTGGCTCATGCCTGTAATCCCAGCAATTGGGAGGCTGAGGCAGGAGAACTGTCACATTTCAGGGCTAGCCTGGTCTCCACAGTGAGTTCAAGGCTAGTCTGGACTACATAGCAAGATCTTGTCTCAAAAAAATCAAAAACAAAACAAAACAAAACTCACAAGATATTACACATCTTCATAGGCACAGTCTGAGAAAGGGGTTTTACAGAAAGGTACTCTCCTGGGGGGAGGATCCATATAAAAAGAGACCTAGCCTTCCACGTCGGTTTTGTCGTGGCTAACGTGAGAGGCCAAGGGCTTTCAGGGAGACTGCGCAGAGGGTGAACTGAGAGACACAGAAGAGGGTTCACAACACACTGCCTGGGAGATTCGATGCCTCTTCTCCCTACCTGTGACCAGAGGGTTCTGTCTGAGGTAACTTGGAAGGACGAGCCCGAAGAAGATAGAAAATCCAAGCACAAAAAGGTTCCGGGAGGAATTCAAGTCAATGAACTGCAGGTTGGACAGGCCAACGGCGGTGATCATTCCTGCAGGAGAAACACCAGACTCAGGTCCCACTGAGCTCCCCGAAGCAAGTGACAGGGTGCAGCACGAGGGCTCAGACACCCTGGAGCCCCAGCCCTGTCAGTCAGAAACAAGCGGGGAGCCCGGAGCAGCGGCAAGAAGCAGGTGGGTGTGGGACGTGCCCACGCCGCCTGGTGGAAGCCCGGCATTGCATTGCGTGGTCTCCGTACACCAGCGCATGACACAGGATGAGGCCGCTCCCTGTGCAACTCTGATTAAACTAGGAACTCACCCAAATATCAGACATGTGTCCCCCTTTATTATAACTAAATGGTGCGGCCATGAAATCCAGAGGCCCACTATAAAAACAGTTTTAAATGGCCTATTCAGAGGGGAAGGTATCTGAATTAAACCAATTAGAAATTCCACTGAGACTAGATTTAATCTTAATTTTCGTACTGCTAGATCTACCTTTAACATAAATTCAACTGAGAAAATAATGTAGATCTTTATTAGAGATTTAACTTTGTTTTAAAACAGAAATTTAGGGGCTGGGTATATAGCTCAGTGGCACAAGTGCCTGCCTGGCAAGCGCAAGGTTGTGAGTTCAATTCCCAGTACCCAAAAAAAAGAAAATCAAAACACAAATTTAACAATAGCTTCCATTTTACTGAAGGGAGCCAGCAAAGACCCAAGAGCCCAGTTGAGAGAGTTAGCATGGTGAGGATAGGAGCCCGGGAGGGACGGGGCTGGACATTACCGAAGAGCGTGCAGAAGAGGGCTCCAAGCACCGGGTCCGGCAGGGACGCAAAGAGGGCGCTGAACTTGCCGATCATGCCCAGGCCAAGCATGAGCGCCGCGCCGTACTGGATCACCCGGCGGCTGCCCACCTGCAGACACGTGAGAGGACAGACGCTCAGCCCATTCTCCAGCAGCACCCAGGGCCAGCCTGGCCTTCTGGGGGAACGTAGATCAGTCCCTCGGGCAGAACGTAGATCAGTCCCTCAACCTTCAGGAACAGATACTCGCAACCCACCATGACTGCAACTGCCAAGAAGCGCCGCTCCCCATGGTGGGTAGACTGGGTAGGTGACACTGGGGGTCAGGAAGCAGCCTTGCTTCCCCAGCCCCTGGATGGAGCCAGGTATGCACTGTGCCTGCTTCTCTGCTGGTCCCTTATACCACCCTTCCTAAGTCAGCCACCAGGAGCGTGTCAGCCTCAACTCCTGCACCCCTGCCCAGTCAGACAACCCCCACCCTACGTCCCAGAACCCCTCTCTTCACCCATGCATCCTGCCCAGAGAGGTGCTATGGACTAGGGCCCAGAGGGCAGAACCAGCCCACTCCCGCCTCGAGTGGAGAGGAGTCCTCTCTAGCTCTCAGGATCCTCAGTTTTGCTAAACAGAGTGATGCAGTATGCCTCAACGGGTCTGACTGTGCCTGGCCAGCACCGGCCCTTCCTCCACCACTGCGCCTTCCACCATCACGAGTGACAATTCTACCACACTGATTTGGGTGGAGGTATCAGTTCTTGGCTTAAATCCTCTGGTGCTTAGGCAATCAGTTCCCATCTTCCCCTCTTCCCAACAAGCCACACCTGCCAACATGTTCCTTCACCTGTGTATGGGTCCCAGGCACACTGAGGCTTACCTGCTACTAAACCTGATCTCTAACTTCTAGAAGGTTCCATCCCCCTCCGCTGTCACCCAGAGAGAGGTGGAGCTGACCTGACTCTAGGCCCTGACACTGCTGTCCCTTATGCTTTGGTGCCTCCCATGGACTAAACCTTGAGGGTATAAGCCAGGCACAGAAGGTTCCAGAAATGTTGGGGGTGGGTTTTCAGGGCTGTACTTACAATAAGAAGATGGTTACTTAAATAAATCGAAATGAGACAAAATTTAAAATTAGTTCCTCCTTCACTGGTGACCTAGTGCTATTCAGCATGCAAAAGCTTCTTCAACGAGCCAGCTAGGGAAGCATCAGAGCCCAAGCTTTACTGTCAGATGAAGAGCTGCCTGTCTAGCTGGACCCAGCCCGTCTCCCCTCTCCACACCACACAGGGTGGGCAAGCAGTGGGGAAGATCACACCAACGGATGAACCACGCAAAACTGACCTAGACTTGGCACAGTTACATCATAAAGACATCTTTCATCTACAGATGGATCGTTTTTCAGCAAACATTTATGACCAGCACTGGAGACAGGCAGGTACAGGGATGAGTAAGTCTGAATCCTGGGGTTAAACAACGGTACTGTCCCACTGGAGGGGGAGTTTGGCTAGAAGGAAGGAGAGCATCTGAGCTGGGAAGGGGTGCTGCAATGAGGCATGGAGGACAGAGAGCCCAGGAGGAAGGGCCGGGCCAGCAGAGAGAGAGGCCTGCATGCCAGGTTGGGTGGCTCCGCCAGGCAGGAGGCAGGAGGGATGCTAGCGCTTAAATAAAAATGGGCTGCCTTTGTCACTACCAAAACCAAGCAGCAGCTAAGCTAGTCCTCTGCTCAGTGACACTACCGGAGTGCCCAGCTCTGCTTTTAGTTGAAGAGCAGGGGCATGGCCCTCCACGTGGGCACACAGGCTCTCTGTGTCCTAGCCCATCCTCCATTCCTGGCAGCCTCGCCTGCAGCTCCTCCAGACCTCCCTCCTGAACTATGGTGGCTCTGCCTCTAGGACCATGAGCCCTTCGCTGCTGACTTCCCAAGTCTTCAACAGTATGGAACACAGGAAAGAGAGACAACCGCCCTGGACAACACCGGAGATACTACAGGGAGACAGTGCTTACTCTCCCTCGAACTGAGCTCTTAACAACGCCTTCAGCTTACTGTGCACCTGCTGCATCTGGGAAGCTGAGCGTTTTACATTAAGCAACTGGCCACAACCCTTGCAAGCCACCTTTTATGGACTATGTCCTGGGGACCAGATGGCCACATTAAGATACAGTGCTAGAGATGGCTGGGATCCAAAGCTGTCCCCCTCCTACCATGCTGTGCTGCCCTCTCCGGGGAGCACTCCCAGCAGAGAAGTCAGGGTAGGTGGCCCCATCTCTGGATATGTGCAGAATGCAACAGCTGGATCCACAGCTGCCGGGCAATGAGGCAGATGCGATGTAGAGACACAAAGCCTCCTTTGATACACCCTGGGAGTCTGGTTCAATGGCTTTGAGCAGTGGCAGCCAGCAAAATGCTCTTCAATAACAGAAAAAGTCCTGCACCTGTGCTGTCTACCGCAGCCACTGAGCCACTCGGACCGCTGCGCCTGGAAATGGGGTCGGTCTCACTGCGGGAGTGAGTTTCTAACTTACTCAGACTTAACAGTTTTGCGTGGGTACTGACTGTCATACCGCACAGCACAGCTCTCGATCCAGGGACTTCAGAGCACATTTTACTCAGAGCAGGGGCTTGTCCAGTCTCTCAGGTGGACAAGGGGCAGAACACAGAGCAGAGTCCTGCCCGCTTCCTCCTGCACAGGGTCTTCCCACAGACTGCAGAACTCTGGCCACATAGACATCTCTGCAGCCAGTCCCACTCTCTGTGCCAAGGCAGACATGCACGGACTAGACCCCTTCTCTTGTGGATCAAGTCTTGGGATTCAGAGTGATGCAAACCTGATTCCAGGGCTGATACTCTGCCCTGCATTGGATGCTGCCTGTGCCTGGGGAGCAGTTCCAATGGCTGGGTCCAAAGGGATTTGGGGCAACATCAATTAGCTCATTAAAGAGTGATGTGATCCCAGCACTCAGGAGGCTGAGGCAGGAGGATCACTGAGAGCTCGAGGCCAGCCTCAGCTACATGGCAAGTTCAAGGGCAGACTGAAATACTTAGTGAGACCCTTTCTCTTTTTTTTAAAAAAAAAGAAAAAGGAAGAAAAACAAAAGTGCTGGCAGGTTGTCTTTTCAGAAAAGGCTGGAGCCATTCAAATTTTCATACAGATTATTATTCCCCCATACCACTTCAGTCATGCTGTGGATTTTGCTTATTCCCTCAGTGGCCCTGGTAAGTTGTGCCACATGCTTTACAAGGGTACAGAAGGGAGCTGGCTTATTAAATAGCTCTTCCATGAGTCCCCCTACATCCACAGCAATTTTATGACTACTCTGTCTTGGCACCCCCTTACATGCCTACAGGGGCAGGGCAGCCAGCTGGCTTAGGCTGGCTCACAGCTCTTCTTACCACAGGCAGCGACAGGACCAGAGGGTGGTGCTGGAGGAAGTGGCCACCAGGTGGCCCTCCCTCCTGCCCATGCCAGGCTCTGGGAGCAGCAGGCAGCAGATGGGGCCACTGGCACACGTGACACTGAGCCCTGGGCAGGCCTGGCAACTGGGGCCTGGCAACTGGGCCTGGCAACTGGGGGAGCCCAACATGTCAGGCACATGGCTCCCTCTCACCCGGATTTGTAATCCAGATGAACCAATCTTAGTATCTGGTTTCTTTTTATCTGATTATAGAATCGTGCATGGAGCTGGGGGGAGGTTTCTTTGGAAATCCACCCCCATCCCCACCTCATCTTACAGAGGTCAAACAGGTCTGGAAAACTTGCGGGCTCACTCCCAAGTTCTCAGGTGAGACCCGTGACTCAAGAGGCCATCAGAGATGGGGAACCAGTTCTAACAGTCTCCGTTTGCACAACCTTCAGTGGCCATGGGTCAAGCTGCATTCCTCAACATCCTGCAGACAGCACTCTCTGGCCTACGGCAAGTAGGATATAATTACGTGCCAGTAATAAAGTTGAGAGGCTCAGAAGCAGGCTCCTTTTCATGGAAGTAGCTTGGGGGAGGAACAGCCCCAGGTTTACAAGTCTGTGTCTGGGTGGGGTGAGGTGGGGCAAACAGGGAGGACGCAGACCAGGCCCCACTCAACCTGATGCCTCAGGGACGCCACATCAGATTCCACTGGGAAGAGGATTCTGCCTTGGAGGTTGGAAAGTTGCACCACCCTTTTATTATGAGATGATTTTGCCGGTCAGGAGGGGAATCATCTTTTGTTTAGAACTTCCAGTGCCTCCCAACTGCCTCCTATTTCTACCCACCGCTGTCTATAGCAATTAAAGTGAACCTTAATCATCAGATCAAGCCGCTCCCTGCAGCACCCACTTCCACGTAGTCTGGCCACCAACAGGGCCCACGTGACCTGTTCTAGGTTACCTGCTGGCCTTGCTGTTCGTACTTTCTGTCCCCTCTGCCCCACTGGCCTCCTAACTGACTTCCACACCCAGGTCAGTGGCCTCCAGTGGCCACACCCCTGCCTGAAAGTTCTTCGCCTGTCACCTGCAGCTCCCTCCGTCCTTCCAGTGAGGCCTGGCCTGACCACCTCACCTCCACTGAGCCACCCTCTCCTGGACCCTCATCACCCACCCCCATTTTCTGCCACCCCTGGCTGGCACTGTCATTCACTGACCTGCTAAGGTGACTGGCCAGTGCCTTTCCTTGCTGGAACGCACGCTCCCACCGTTCGCGGATGCACCCCCAGCTACCTCACACTGACCTGCACAGGTCGGCACTCAATAAGCAGCACAAAAGAAAGAGCACCTGAGCGCCACCCTCCGCAGGCTGGCAAGGGAGGGAAGCCTTCCAAAAGGCACCCCAAAAACTCACCAAAGGGGAAATAAGGCATGAGGAAAAGGTGATCTCAGAATTCCCGCTGGAACAACGATGTTAATTAGAAAAATATCTGTACCTTTGTAATTCCCAAAACGCCAATGTTGGGACTGGATGAAGTAGAGCCGTTCCCAGTACCAAATATGCCATCGAGAACACAGGAGAGACCCTCCACGAAAATCCCCCTGAAACGCAAAGAAACGGGGCAAAGAGAAACATTCATTCAGTGGAGGAAACACTGAAACAGGCTCTGAATGTTTGCAACCCGCAAGTGTGGTCCACAGAGGGGCAGCTTCTGCTCCTCCCAGGGAGGGCAAGCAATGTAGAACCTCGGGTCCAAGAGATTCTGACTGCTGAAGCCCAGTCTGTGTTCCAACTGGGTCCCTCTCACTCATCAATTTTAAGAAGTCACTCTCTAAATTCTACACCAAACTGCTCTGAAACACTTCAAATGAAAATGAAGGACTTTGGCCACATAATAAAGCCACTGGGTGATGAGTTGTCCGGTGAAGTTAAAACATACTATTTGAGTCTTTTATTGAAGTACAGTTTCATCTGGAAGGAAATGTCTCATAATCTTATAAACACTTTTAAAAGTATGAGTAGTTTCATCATATGTAACAGTTCCATTCAAAAAAGATACAGAAACCAGAACTAAAAATACCCAGACAGAATCCACACGAGTCACGCTAAGACCCAGCCACTGATCCTCCCAAAGCAATCCCTTCTGGAGCAACAGCTGACAGCTGGGAACTGGGGCTGATCTACTCTCTCTTCTCACTGCAGCCTCCTTGGCTCAATTTTCTACTGACTTCCAAAAGCTAAAGACCAGGAGTTTTGAAGGTATAAACCTCACAGCTCATAAACCTCGAGACCCTGCAACTCTCTTCTCTTCCTGTCCCAACTCTATGACTTCTAACTGCATGGATTACACAGAACCTGCCCGTAACAACAGCTGGAGTACACCTAACACATCTAAACAGCTACTGTCTGCTGCTAAGGTTTTTATTATGGACGCAAGAAAAGTACATTCATTTGTCTTCTGTCTGTCCAACTGTGGTGGCCAGGAAGGAATGGGACAAACAGAATTTTTGTTTGCCTCAGAAACAATGAAGAGCCTGTTCTACTCCAAAGAGTCTAAACTTTGAGCTTACCTGAAGCAGCAAAAACAGCTGGGAAAAAAAGAAAATCAAAGTAGACATATACCAAAATGACACAAAGCCAAGCAGAGTAAGGGCAAGGCTGGCCATTTGTTTTGGTGAGTTTCTTTTCTTTTTTCTTTTTGAGGCAGAGTTTCACTATGGAGTGCAGGCTGGCCTCGAACTCACAGTGATCCTCCTGCCTCAGCCTCCCACATGGTGGGATTACAGGTGTGCACCACCACACCTGGCTAAGTTTCAGGCTTAAAGTAGACTCACAGAGATGTGAGTCTACTCCCTGGGGAGCGGGAGAAGAAGGAAAGTCTCTTCCATTACAGATGAGGAAAATGTCAGCAAACGAGGGCAGTGACTTGGCCCAAGGCAGGCAACAGTCCCACCACTTGGCTGTACAAAGCCTTGGTCTTTCCCAAGAGGGTGTCTGTCTAAGCCAATGTGCTGCATAAGGCGCGAGCCCGCTTGTCGTACCTGTTTATTGCATGAATGGGAGGTGGCGGGGCACAGGAGAGCCTGGCGCAGGCATAGTAGTCACCGATGGATTCAATGATGCTGGCCACGACCGCGCTGAGCATGCCGATGACGCCTGCTGCAGAGACGGTGGGCAGCCCCCACTGAACTGAGGACAGAAGACAGCCATGAGAGGTGTTCGCTTTCCTGGGGGTCAGGCAAAAGTTACAGGACCTCAGGGGACTCTGCAAGAGCTATCTGGATTCTAAACTCATTCAGTTTTAAATCTTAATCGCTGGCCTGGTATGGCGGTGTGCACCTGTAATCACAGCACTCAGGAGGCTGAGGAAGGAGAATCACAATGAGTTTGAGGCCAGCCTGGGCTACACAAGTGAGTTCAAGGCCAGACCGTACTACATGGTAAGACTTTGTCTTAAAAAAAAACAAAACAAAGCAAAAACTTAATCACTGATACACCAGATGCCCAGGGAAGTCAGATCTCATTGGTCTACTCTATTTTTAAAAAGACATCCCTTGCCAGGTATAGTGGTGCATGCCTATAATCCCAGCACTTGGGAGACTGAGGCAGGAGGATCACCAAGAGTTCGAGGCCAGTATGAACTACATAATGAGACTCTGTCTCAAAAAACCAAAAAGACATCCCTTGAGTAGAAGAGGTGCATGCGTCTCTTCTTGCTTTGAAGTCACACTCAGTGTCTGCTAAATTGTGATTTAACACTCTGCTATGGTGAAGGAGGAATTTGCATGAGTCGGATTTACGGCACTCCTGCAAAGAGCACAGTATACAGTAACAGAGAACTTGCCCACAGTCTGGAAACAGATGCAAGGAGTGAAAAGTCCCCCACTGAATAAATATCTCAACAGTGAAGTGTGCCCAAGATACAGACAATCCTCTGCCATGTGACGAGCACTTAAAAAGTAAACCACAAACTGTGTTACAGAAAGGTAATAGTTTTATTTTAGAAAGCAAAGGAAAGTCCCTTTGTAGTTTCATGTTGATTATCTGGATTTGCTTAATTTTTCACCAAATTTTTTTGCCTGGGCATGGTAGAGCACACTGGGGAAGGAGGATCACTGTGAGTTCAAGGCCAGCTCTAACTCCATTGTGAAACAGTTTCAAAAAAAAAAAAAAACCCACCTATCACTATTAGTAAGAATACACAATGAAGTCACTGGCCCTACTTCCCTGAACCAGTAGGTAGAAGTACTACCACCATGAGGATAAAGTGGGCAAACAGAGGTGGTTAAAACATGGTGCTGTGGGCAGAGTCCAGTCTTGTGGCTCAGGGACCAGGGCACTCAGAGGCTCAGACACAGTGTGACAGTATGGTTCAAGCTCAAACGAGGCAGCCAAGTACAAGTGAGGGGGTCAGCGTTCCCGTCAAGGAAGGAAACAGGAGGCACATGCAAACAGAGGTGCTCCTTGAACTGGGAGTTGTGCAGCGCAGGAATGGGCTGGCGCTCATCAGAGGGGCACACGCAGGGCACAGAAGGTGTCAAAAAGCTACCTAGCGGGCCTGGCATTTGTGCTGCACATACCTGGAAGCAACCATAGGTGTGGGAAGAGGAAGGTGAGATGCGTAGAACGGGCCTGTAGTGTGAGGGTGAACTGCTCTCACCCAGGCCTGCCCTGCCTGTGCGAGCAGTCGGAAGCAGCTGGGGTCGAGGGCGAAGTGCAGTCACCAAGCAGGGCGCAGCAGAGGCGGACAATGCCCACCAGCCACACCCTAGGCCAACACTTCCTGTCGGGGTTGCTTCTGGGCCTTTATCAAGCCACACTTTGAGTTTTTATGTACTGTACCTGTTGCTGTTGTGGCACTGTGACTTCATTTCAGTGTCCTGATTTTGAAGGGAGACTCTTATTCTAGTTTGCCTTACAGAGAATTACCCAATCCCTCCCCCAGGATAAGGCTTATACCCAGGGGCTATTGAGCTACACCCTCACCCCCTGTTTAAAATAATTTTGAGACAGGGTCTTACCTAGGGTGGCCCCAAATTTGCAATCCCCCTGCTTCAGCTTCCCAGGTAGCTAGGATTACAAGCCATCAGCCAACAAGCCTGGCTCAAATCTGATACTTTTGGAGCATCAACTTGATACCACACAAGTGGAAAATTCTACACCTCACCCCATGTGATACACTGTAGTCAGAAACACAGGTGGACTGAAAGCACTGTGGAAAAAATCACCTTCTGGCTGTTGTGTCTAAGGAGAACATGAAACAAATGAAAATGAATTGCCTGTGTAGCCAGTTCCATCCTTTCCCCAAGATACCTCATTATGTACACGCAAATACTCCAAAATCCAAAAAACAAAGGAACACAATAAAGCTCTGAAATCCAGAACTCTTCTGGTCCCAAGTTTGTCTGGAACAGGGGACATTATTTTTCAGAAAGTGGCTTCTATTTTCTCATTCTCTTTATACTTACTGCTTTCTTATTTTCCCCCGTTTTAGCTTGAGTCCTTAAATCTGATGGCTGAAGTCTTTATTTCATCCATGCCAACATTAAACTTTGCTGGGGATATAGACTAGTGGCACAGGCACCTGCCTGGCAAGCACAAGGTCCTGAGTTTGATTCCCGGTGCAAAAAACAAACACATTAAACCTGCGCTTTCCCTCCCTCTCCCTCCAGCCCCTGTCTTAAAGCTATTACTTTATCTCTCCCTATAATTTGCTTTGCTACCTTACAGCAGATTTTTTCAACTTTGGCACTGTTGACATTTTGGGTCAGAAATCTGTACATTAACGTCAACCCAGGTGATTCTTATTATACCAGTGGCTGAGAGCCACGATTCTTGATGTTTAAAACCCAGCCTCTGGATTGATCCAAACCGCAGTGAGCATGTACGACTCGTCTGCTGGAGGTAGCTTTCCATCCAGGAGCTCAGGTCATGCCCCAGCTCTCAGCGCTGAGGGCTGTGCTGAAGAGGAGCCTATCACTGACTCACTACAACGGGGGGCCGTCCGCTGAGTGACCCCACCTTGCCCGCACCGTGCTCCTGTGGGCGCTCACCTGGCAGCTGCTTGCGCCAGGTGCTGAGGAGGCTGCCCACCCCACCCTCCTGCGTCATCTCCTGACTGCCTCACCAAGAGATTTTAATCTCATTTCATCTCGGATTAGAGGTATGCTTGTGAACCAGGTGCATTCTTTTTGGGAAACGGGATAGGTGTATATAAATACACACTTGGGCCCCATGTGATCTGATGAGAATGTTGTTTTAGAAAGACTCAATTTCGTAAAGTTTTCGCGAATGTAGCAAGAACAAATGGGAGAACTGCCAGCACTCTCATCGTTCAACATGCCTGGAGTCATCTCCTCCAGCCTTAATATGTCTGGCTGTTCTTGCTTTTTCTCCACGTCATTATAAAATACAAAAACAAGACAGTTCGACAGGGGAATAAATTGGCTCAACCTGACTAAGCGTGGGCTTATACTCTAACAAAAACTCCCAATCCCGAGAACAGTCTTGACAATAGAACAATCAAACATGAGCTCATGCGAGGTACTTCTGGGTCTGAGGTCTGGGAAGATTCTGTGCATGACTCCAAGTGATACCTAGAGATCACATTTTCTGCCCCATGTCATCCCCAACACTCAAATTATAACTTAAGATCAGTCTTCCGGCAGACTATCACTTTACCTCTGCAGCTGTGACCAAATTAAAAAGATTAGAGCTCTCCATTAAAAGATTATGTAAATTTCATCATGCTTGAGCGATGTGCTTGCTACTCTCCGGGCCGCGCCCACTTGGCCTTCTCACTGGGCAGCTCTCGTACCAAGCAGCTCCATACCTGCCCTCCTCAGCAACTGACCTCAAATGCTGGCCACCAGGGCCGAAACCTGGCCAAATCCCTAAGAGTCACACGGTTAATCTGAGAAGGGGGCTGGCTGGCTCCCCGTGCTGACTGCCACAGGGGACAAGGACTTCAGGAGACATTCTGGGATAAAGGCTTTTCAGGCCACAGTGTGCCTGATTCCGACCCCTCCAAGTAGGGGCCACTGACTCCTGACCCCTCTCGGGATACTTACATGGGTACGGAACCTTAAACCAAGGGGCAACCAGCAGCACGCCCTGCCTGGCATCCGTGCGAGCGTAGAAACCATACTTGGTGCTGTCAGGAGGGAAGACATCAGTCACCGTGAAGATGAAGCAGAGCAGCCAGGACACGAGGATGGCCAGAATTATCTAGGGAGGTCAAGGGGAGAGGTTCTGTGAGGCCAGCAGAACTGCTAGGGGATCGGCAAACACACCCTTCCTTCAGCGTGACCATCCCACTAGGAACCCCCAGCGCCAGAACTGCAGATCCCTCCCATAAGTGGCACCGTGCCCATTAACTTGGCCTTTCCAGGGTCTGCCATGTAAATCAGAATGGACATCATGTCTACAGATGCCACATGGCGTCAAATCTTAGTCCTAAGGACAGTGACCTCCTTTGTTGGCATTACTACAAGAATGTCTCCTGCGTTGGGATTAGAACCTTGCAAAGCTCTAAGTTTAGGGTGGCTGAGGGGGGTTGCCAGCACCCTGATGTCCCCACACTGACCATCAGCTCAAAAGGGCGTGCTTCAGCCTTCCCTGTGGCAAGCATCTTACACATGAAAGGACGGCAACGTGTCAGGCAAAAAGGTCGACTACTCACAGGGAACATTTTGAAAAGCTGTAACTTATACGCAGTCCATCCTTTCTTGGATTTGTAAATCGGGAGAGGAAATTTAACATTTCTGGCATATTGAGAAAACAGTAATACTAGGAAAATTGTCCTGAAAAGAGAAAGAAAATAAAGGAGGTTAGACAATGTTATGTCTATGTGGTTTCTGGTTTTTTTTGGTGGTACTGAGGATTGAACCTAGGGCCTCTACACTGAGCTATAGATGCCCAGTATCCTTTTAAAAATTCTTTTTAAAAAAATTTTGAAACAAGGTCTTGCTAAGTTGCTAACCTGCTCATTTGGGCTACAATTTTCAATCTTCCTGTCCCAGTTTCCCAGAGTGCTGGGGTTCAAGGTATGCATCACCACACTTGGCTTTTATCTGTGTTTCAAAACAACAAAGCTTCAATGTCAAACTGATTATGTGCATGCATTCATTTAACTGGTCCACTGCTGGTCCTCTTTCTTATGCTCTGGAATCATCTTTTGGTACCATCTGGGGGAAGACACTGTACCTCACTGCCTAGCATTCTTGACACTGATGTTAACACTTCGGCTAAATTTTCCTAACTAGAGTAAGAAAACCCAATGAATACATGTGTTGATGGGAAAAGCTCACACTATGTAAGGGGGCAAAAGGTCAGATACAACATACCATATAGTATATTCACAACTATGGATGAACTAAAAACCCAACGGAAAAACCCCTGCTTGCACACGTACACACATGCTAACATGAGGGTCAGAAGGGTGTGATCTACAATGCAAATTATTTTTCAAAAGCAAAAATCAGAACTGCATATAGCAGGATTGAGTACTGAAAGGTTTCTGTGTGCTTGATACTACACTAAGCCTGTCCTGTAAGGACGATCCTTCAAGGACGATCCTTCTAGGACGATCCTTCTAGGACGATCCTTCTAGGACGATCCTTCTAGGACGATCCTTCTAGGACGATCCTTCTAGGACGATCCTTTCCTTTTTTCATAGAAACACAAAGCCAGTGGTCAAAGATCACACAGCTAGGTCCAGAGATGGGTGGGGTCAGGGGCTGGCTCTATAGCCTGAGTCCCTGAACTATCGTCACATGGGCTTATGGTGGCAGGAAGCCTGGGTGGGCTGCGCAAGTCCCTTACCCCTGAGCCTCACATCCCTCACCAGGCTGCTGAGTGCTACACACGAGGCAGTGACAGGTGGTGAGACTCCCTGTAGCAGGGCCTGGGCACCTCATCAGCGGGATCCCCCATGTGGCTGGTGAGTGGCAGCTACTTCTGGGTGGATTTCATCACCAAGATACAGGCACATAGTGACATGCCTAATCACCTAAGGATGTGGCTAAGCCTCCACTTGGCCTCACTCTGCACATACAACCCGAGCTAGGGCTGGCAAGAAGAGTGGGTGCTCAAAGCGAAGCTTAATTACTCCTGGCCACAGTTCCAATTGCTGAGATGGAATTATCAGCCCCATCAGCAGCCAGGCAAAGTGCGCTTCTAATGACACACATCCCTGTCACAGCTTAATGAGGTGCAGACCAAAGCTCAGTTGGAGGAAGGTGTATGCCTCCCTGTGGCTTCCTGACCGCCTGGAGGCTCTGGTGAACTGGTGACCCTCTGTGGCTTCCTGCAGCACCAGCTCAGGCTGAAAGCACAAAAGTGCCCATGTTATTTCTACTCCTCTGGGCCAGTAAAGTTAACAACAATCTGGCAGCGATGTTACAACTGGCATTAAACCTACAACTACAGTACAGGAAATGTTCGTGTATTAAAAAATGCTACTTATTTTTTCAAAGTGGAAGCTATGCAGTCCAACAAAGCTCAAGTCTGCCACTGTTATTATTTCAGGAAACTCTCACCTGCACAGTGGTGTTCACTTTTCAAAGCACCTGGAAGAGGGGACAGGGGACACACATGCAATCTAGGAAGGACACTCAGATTTCAGGCCCACATGGGGCAACTTGAATTAACACAGCAGACAGGGTTGAGCAAACACTTTTCTTCTCACTCTCTCACTCTAAAGCATCTACTTCGAGATTGTTTTTAGCCTCAAATGTACCAGGTGGGCAGAGAGTGCAAGAATCCCCGCAGCAGAAACTGTGAGCCAAAGAACCCTCCTCTTCACGCTGCAGGTGCCAGCTCTTTGCCCCAGCAATGATTTTTTTGGTACTGGGAATCGAACTCAGGACCTTGCACTTGCCAGGCAGGCACTTGTGCAGCTGAGCTATCTGCCCGGCCCTGTCCCAGCAATGGAAAGCTGACTGAAACAGTTAACTCTACAACTTCGTCCAGCTCGTACACACTGATGAGCCACGACCTCATTGTGCTTTGCAGATGCGCATATTATATCCTCTGTCCAGGACTCCACCAGGATTCTTTTAGGCTCTGTGAATTACAGACATTAGCCTTTTTCTGGAACGTGTGGCAAACATTTTCCTAGACTCATTTTTAATTTAGTTTCAGTGGTTTTTGATGTTTTAAATGTAGCAGTAGTAAAATCTATTAATCTTCCTTCCAGCATCTACTTAAGATCTTTCCCACTTTAAGATTAAATTTTTTTTTTTTTTTTTTGGTTTTTTTGGTTTTTCTCCGGTACCGGGAACCAAACTCACGACCCTGCGCTTGCCAGGCAGGCGCTTTGCCGCTGAGCTAAATCCCCAGCCCCCAAGATTAAATATTTATGTAAGTTTTTTTCTAATACTTTTATAGTGCCCTACATAAGCATTTAATTCAACTGTAATATAATATAAAACAGGAATATAACTTTTGAAGTGACTATCTAATTTTTCTCACATAATTCTGCCATTCCCTGATTTTAAATATGACTACCGTCTTATACTAAAACATATTTTTCAAAATGTCATCACAGCTAGACATAGTGGCACAGGCCTGAAATCCCAGCACTCAGGAGGTTGAGGTAGGACTACAGCAAGTTCAAGACCAGCTTTGGCTACACAGTGAGTCCAAGGCCAGCCTGAACTACATAGTGAGACCCTGTCTCAAAAAAACAAACAAATCAACAAACTGGGGAGGTTCATGGTCAGGCCTAGTTCAGCAGAGGACTGCAAAAACCTACCTGAAGCTTTGGTCAATCAAAGGAGAGAGTCCTTGAGTTACTGGAGTGACACTGAATGATTTTTCTGAAGTGAGGAGAATGAAACTGCCAGGAATCAGAAAGGAAATGACAGGAAAATTAAAAGCTCCAGAGAAGTTGGAGAGATGGTCCACAGCACAGAGAAGCAAATAAGGAAAACAACTTACTCTCTCCCAGGCTCTTGGCTCTCTGGGAGGGTAACCTACTCCCAAGAAGCAAGAAAAGTGCCCAGGGCTCGGAGATACAGAGAGAAACAGGAAGAAAGCCCATAGCTGTTGAGAGTCACAAAAGCAGTGCTGGGTTTTGCTCTTTCTGCACAGCAGCAAAGCCAGAGAGGGATTTCACTGCAGGGGACGCCATATCACCAGAGAGTGCTGATCAGGTGCAATTTCGGGAAAGGGTTAATATTTAAACCTAGTACTCAGAACAACTAAAAAACTTCACTTCAGGGCCCCCAAAGTTGCCTCCCACAGTGACTGAGTAAAAGCCACAGAAGACAGCTGTGGATAGTAAGCAGGCTAGAGAGAGTGCCTCTGAGAAGTTTAAACTCAGGTGGGAAGGATGGACACACAGGGACACACACAAACACAAACACACTTTTTCTCTCTCTCTCTGCGCGAAGCCAGGCTGTTTGAGTTGTGCTCAGAAACACCTGGGGCTCAAAGTGCCTGCCAGCACTGGGTACTTGAGCCCTTGCCCTGTTGCCTACATCCACCCTAGATCTGAGGTCTGACTGCCTTCCCTGTCCACCACCGTGAGCAAGGACATATCTCAGCATGGGCACTGTCACCGCCTAGGGTGGACAGAAGGACCTCAAGAACACGGGATGCAACTCATAAACCCATAGCCATGAGGCTCAGCAGAGAAAACCATGACTTGCTGTACTCCAAAATAGCAGATCCTAGAAGGAAACCGCTCATTAAAAAATACACGGAAAGTAATTTTTTTCTCCATTTTGTGGGTCATTTTCTTTCTTTTCCTACTCCTTTTTTCTCTTTCCTTCTAATTTTCCTATATTACTTTTTCCTTTTGTGTTCTACTTTATTTTTTTTTCTGTCACTTTTATCTAATTCTACAAGTATCCTTCTATCACTTAATAGGACCCTTGTCTCTTTTCTTTCCTCATCTCCCAATGTTTAGGTTTTCAACTTTTTTCTTGCATTCTCCCATCCCTATTCTGTAAGAGTATAACCATTAATCTTTATTAATTTTTATGTAGTTAACTCTGATACTACTCCTGAAGCCTTTTCTATCATTAGTGGAGGTAAAGTTATCCCATTAAGTAGATATCTGCTATTTATCAATATCTGCTTTGTCTTAAGTGTTTACATTGTAATTACAAATTTCTTTTAAAAGGTAACGGGTGGTACATTATAGGTTCTTATGGTATGTCAATATCCAGTTTGTCTTGGATGATATTACCGTTGCTGGTTTACTTGATACTGCCATGGTCTCAAAGTTGTTGCTATAATAGGTTTTCTCTATGCCAATATCTGGATTACCTTTGTGACATTAGCAATACCATGGCCCATTCCCAGAGAACTGGATCTAGGGCCAATTACAATACATCCACTCCTTCCACACTAACAGAGGTGGTCTGATCCTGAGACAGAGGCACTGGACTCTAGTTAGCCACAACCTCAGTGCATCACTTAAAACAGACTAGAAGAGAATTCCATACTAGCATCAAAGTCTCTCCACTAGAAAAATAAACAAGGGCTGGGGATTTAGCTCAGCGGCAAAAGTGCCTGCCTGGCAAGCGCAAGGTTGTGAGTTCGGTTCCTGGTACCGAAGAAAAACCAAAAAAGAAAAATAAACAAACCCTGGTCTTTCCACGATAAACAACTGCAAGCCTAAGCACAAAACAAAACAAAACAAAAGAAACAAATAAAAAAAACAGAAACATGAAAAGACAAGGCAATACAATGCCTCCCCAAAGCTGACTCATGACACACTGAGTGAGAGTAACACAAAAGCCACATGGCTTAATTATTTGAAAGGACAATAGAGGAAAAAGATTTTTTTTTT